ATTACATTGCAAACCCCAGCAAGGCCCAGAATATAAAACAGCGCCGTAAAAGAAAGCATAAACCGGCTTTTACCACCTGGAAAACAGCGAGAAGGAAAGAGTGTTGGGGCCTCACGTCATTAGTGAACTGGAAGTATACGCCTGGCTAAAGGGGTTATTTCCTCTTTTATGGTCTCCCTGGAATGTTAATACTGGAGAGAGAAAAAAAATAATAGCGAAAGGGCAAAGAAACGATAATTTGATGAAAGAAACTTCGAAAATACTCCTTTCAATTGCTATTCTTACTGTTACGTATGTGACAAATGTTTTATTTCTTAAGTAGTTATATATATGTATATATATATATATATATATATATATATATATATATATATATATATATATATATATATATATATCGTGTGTAAATTACGAAAATTAACACGTGATGAGCAATGTGTCGGTGTCAGACCACGAAGGACGCATTTAGACAGGAATTTCTTTAAGTACTTTGGTATTTAATTATACATCTTCAGAAGGATTCAATGGTTCCCATGTAAAAAAATAGCAAAATAACACTCCTAAGGGGGAGCCCATTGCTTTTCCGTCTATCTGTAGATACATGTTACCTTGAGCCTTGATGAAATGCCTCGAGAAGGCTCTTCAAGTGTGGCTCGGGTGAGTCTAACTTGGGGGTGCTCTCGTCTTTGTATACTATGTCTAGGATAATTTCTATGGTTGTGTCGACTATATACCATCACAACTATGGTGTTGGTAAATAGCGATTCAACGTCCAATGGAGCAATAATTCCATTGGGCTGCGTAGTCTTGGTTATTTCTAAGAAATCTCCTGATGATTTTAGACTATAGTTACTTGGAGTTAGGAGTTCGTTTAGTGTGTGTTGCTAGGTGGTAGGATTGAGTTGGTACCTGACTGATTATAGGGCGTAGTGGGTTACCTGGTTTATATTTCTTAACATTGCCCCAGACATATCCTTTGCCATAGTCACTTTGGAGTTTAGCGAAATGAACACCACCTCTCTTAGTGTTAATTGCGATACTAGTTTTGTTCACTTTGCGTTAAAAGTCTTTCAGAGGGTTCGTACTAGCAAAACTACTAACAGAGGCGCAGAAAAGACCAGGACCATTCTTATAGAAAAATCCTAACCCCACGACAGGGGCACCCTATGCCCCTGTTACCTAGCAGTAAAATAGGTACCTGGGTGTTAGCCAGCTGTCACGGGCTGCTTCCTGGGGGGGGGGAAGGCCTGGTCGAAGACCGGGCCGCGGGGACACAAAAAAAAGCCCCGAAATCATCTCAAGATATCTCAAGATAGCGACTCAAAAATGCAGCAAAACAACCTAATAATCAGTTAGGTGTAACAATAAAAATAGCCGACAAGACAGCAGCATATGTGTTGATACCTACCCAAGAGTATATTAATAAAATCAGCGACATCCGCAGTGTTGACACAAAATTTTAACAAATCACAAAGAACCTTTTGGAAGACCTTTCTTTTGGATGAAGACCTCATTTAATTTGATAACTGGATGAGTGTGTTTGATGCCAAGTGCTTCGGCTAGGATTTAACTTTTATTGTCCCTATACTGGTCGATTACATTGGTGTTGCTTTGACTTTACGTAAATAAAACTCGTTATATTGTGATTTGGTTGAAAACATATTAAGTATACGAATTGACGCTGACTGCGTTGATTGCTATTTTCTCAAGATGGCTTAATTGAGTTATCTAAGCGAAGGAGCGTCTTAGCTAATGACATCTACTAGTGTACTTAAAAGTGGTATCACGACAGGCGTTTGCAGTTAGTAATATGTTAATAAGTATGTTATAAATTATGCTTTTGGTAACTTTCTGGGCTGGTATTAACCTGAGAGCTTCCCGGCCGAGGCCCCAGAGATATCTCTGGATGCATACCTGTATACTCCCAGAGATATCTCTGGATGCATACCTGTATACTCCCAGAGATATCTCTGGATGCATACCTGTATACTCCCAGAGATATCTCTGGATGCATACCTGTATACTCCCAGAGATATCTCTGGATGCATACCTGTATACTCCCAGAGATATCTCTGGATGTATACCTGTATACTCCCAGAGATATCTCTGGATGCATGCCTGTATACTCCCAGAGATATCTCACTTCTCAGCTTATTAACTCTGAGAATTTATTTAGGCTAGAGCTGTATTCCGGTCAAATGTCTACTTTACAGCTTGTCAGCCAGCTCTCGGGGTGGCCTTAATGAGCCGGGTATAAGGGTGGTTAGCAAACCTTATACCCGAAATCAAACCAAATTGCGGCAGTTTGATCTTAACACTGTTCGTAAAAGCCGATTTTTCAGAGGACATAAAACCTTCAACTCCTAGTGTGATATAGTCATACTGGCTTAGCGCTGTCTATCCATGACCTCTTTACCTATCTCCATCCACTCGCTTTCTTTTCCATCTTTCATTTGACGTTTTTTTCACTCAACTCTTGAAAAATTCCCCACAGAAGATTTTTGCATCCTCTTCAAGACGTTCTGTGGATTTTATTGTGGCTAGCTTGCTTCCCTAACTTAACATGTAGACTATTCGTTCTGGGAGAGTTTTAAATAGCATGTTTAGGCTAGTAGCCACCTGGAGCGGTACAGTAGGTTAGGACAATGATTGGAGATTGAAGAAGATGATTACTGAGAAGCGAGAGACCAGGTTTGACCAGACTAACTTTGCGTAATTTACATATTTTTATTTTTTAATAAATAACATTTACAGTCTCTTTCGCAATATGCTCTTGGTAATGTGTTAATGCTTTCAATTTTATTTTCCAACGATAGTTAGGTACATAATGTTTTTCTTGTGGATTTCATGAGCTTATTGACGAATTTTGAATTTGTAATGCACATTTATCTTTTTTTTACAATATATATACCAATTGATAGACATTAGCACTGTACATAGACCAAACATTATATAGTTTCACAGGTATGAATATTGAAGTTTGCATCTATATTGCAAATAAATAATATAACTCGACGCTGTCAATTGATATAGAAATATGAACATGATTTGAAGCTTTTGGTATGTGTACAACTGTAGCCAAATTTCACTGTAACTTAATGGTGACGCTAATACAGGAAGATTTGTGTATATCAATATCCAGGACTATTTTAGCAGCTCTGCATGTGGACATATTGGCTGGTTATGAATCAGTGAATTGCTACCAAATGGCAAGTGTAAATTATGTTTGTAATTTAATGCGAGTTTAAAAATTTGGTATAATTCTGCTCGAGCAAATAACGTTATGGCATTCTTTATACATCATACATATACATATATATGAGAAAATCATTTTGTGGCAATGAAGTGACTTGAACCAGCGTTCTTGGGATTCCCAGATACCTGCATTAATGATTTTCTAATCTCACCAAACTAGCCCAATCCAACTCATCTTCTCCAGCCCAGCAGCTCATTCAGCCCAAAAATCATAATTTTCTCAATGAAAATAAATAATTTTTATTATTATTTTTGGTATTAAGTTTTCATAATACAAAACCCCAAATTAGCTGTGCAGCTTCCAATCCTCTTCCCCTCTCGGAGTTTACACTTGTGTATTTCTCTGTGAAACACCGCGAAACTTGTGTGTAAACTGAGCCTCTTCCAAGGCGCTCCGACACCTTTCAACTCCCACTTACACCTCTTTGCTTTCCCAAGAGTCAATACTTTGGTGATTCTTCAACGCTCTCCACGATACGCCAGCCTCTCTCCCTTACCCTCCACACATCCTACTCTTCTATTAGCTAATAGTACGACCCAACATTATTTATAAAGGGTAAAGTTTGTGTGTGCTTCATAAATTCAGACGCTGTAAAATGGAATTCGATTTAATTTGGCACGTTTGAAAAGATCCTCCAATATTGTTGTTTAAGATTCAGCAACTGGGAAGAAAAAGTTCCAAGTAACACGGGCTATGGTGAGCCCGTAGTGGACTTACCTGGCACAGGAGCGGAGCTGGAACTGGATTCACAGTTCAGTGGGTTTGATGTATAAGTTATAGTATATAGACAATAAAGGATATAGGCTCTAGAGGCTCCGGAATGCTGTTCAAAACACGAAATCTGGATTCTGTGAAGACAGCCGAAAACTTGCAAGGCGAGACTCTTAATTTTACCAAAACCCGATTAAAAATCTCGTGTAATGAGGCTCTCCACTTAGTCGCAGGCCAAGTGAGGATCGTGTACAGGGTTAAGATATGCGGAAGTATCCACTGGGAAAATGAAACGAAAGTTCCGAACGTTTCCGTGTTTCAACACATTATTATGGAAACACAGAAAGATGACATAGGAGTTTGGGATTATAAATAATTATAATCGTTTGGGATATAAATAATTATACTCCATTTACATATTTCATCTCTCAATTGTCAATCAACTGGTGTATAGATACCTAAGAATACTGGGCTCTATCATATCTACATCTTATCATATCTACATCTTATCATATCTACATCTTTTCATATCTACATCTTTTCATATCTACATCTTTTCATATCTACATCTTTTCATATCTACATCTTTTCATATCTACATCTTTTCATATCTACATCTTTTCATATCTACATCTTTTCATATCTACATCTTATCATATCTACATCTTTTCATATCTACATCTTTTCATATCTACATCTTTTCATATCTACATCTTTTCATATCTACATCTTATCATATCTACATCTTATCATATCTACATCTTATCATATCTACATCTTTTCATATCTACATCTTTTCATATCTACATCTTTTTATATCTACATCTTTTCATATCTACATCTTTTCATATCTACATCTTATCATATCTACATATCTGTGTGTATATGTGTGTCAATGATGCGTATGTAGTGAATGTATACGTGAGCGACATAAACGCATGCACCTGCATGCGTTTATCTAAAATCAATACGTCAACAATTCCTTTACCTTAAAAAAAAAAAAAAATCCTCTCAATCTCGTCTCTTCAACCAGGACCAGAGTTCTGGGGTGTCATCAACCCGGCGTGGGCCATGTGTTCCGAAGGTCGTCGTCAATCTCCCATCAACCTGGACCCACGCACTCTACTTCACGACCCAAATCTCACGCCCATCTCCCTCGACAAAACTCAGGTACGTGCCAGTCTGACCTTTCTCTCTCCTCTGATCTACCCTTATAACTAAGCTCTCAACATTTTCCACTTTGCTTCTAACGACTGACTGTAACAGCGATATATAGTTTATTAATGACCTTTTACTCCGATTCTGGTGACTTTTGGATAACCTTCGCCCGTTTAGCAACAATTGTGGAAAGTCATTGTTTAATCAACAATAATCTCTGACCCTTAAATGATAAAATTAAAAAGACAGATGCTGTCCCATGCTCTTTCATATTTAAAGGTTAATACGGCATTACTATGAATGTAATTTTGGATACAAACTTTTGCTTATTGACGTGCATTCAAATCCCACTAAATCCTCAGATCAAATTAAGGATAAAATGTGTGTGTGTATATATGTTGGAATTTTACCGAATAAAATGTTAAGCATGCAATATATATATATATATATATATATATATATATATATATATATATATATATATATATATATATATATATATATATATATATATATATATATATATATATATATATATATATATATATTTTATTAAATATGACCGAAAAAGTAAGATTAATAATTCTAACACGAATTTTCTCAATCTTTCGTACATTATGCTTCACTGTTGGAGGTAAATCAAAAATCACTTCTCCAAAATTCATTTTTATTTTGGAGAAGTGATTTTTGATTTACCTCCAACAGTGAAGCATAATGTACGAAAGATTGAGAAAATTCGTGTTAGAATTATTAATCTTACTTTTTCGGTCATATTTAATAAAATATGTCTACAGGAAAGACTGCTACCAAAATATACTAATATATATATATATATATACATGCACAAGCACAGACAAGAACAAATACACAAGCCCACGAACAAGCCCAACAATTCAAGCAGACACGTGCACACAAACATTCAAGGGAACAGGCCCACTCAAACACGCTGAAACTCAAATACCAATACCAACACGGGGGAGAGATGCAGCAGTCTAATACCAAGTTAATGGTTACTGTTGTGTGACCCCCCAGAGACTCGTATGTGGGGGTATAAGGGGGTATTTACACTCATTCAAAATACCCCCGACAAATGACGTTAATTCAGCGTTACTGAAGCATACCCCTGCCCACTGGGTAGGGGTATAGACTGCTTCTCAGTGTATCACAATCTTAGGTGTTAATTCATTGCTCGGTTAACTTTATTACATTGTAAAGCTCCGGTCTACGCTTCTTAGATCAGCACAGTCGAATCCTGATGACAAAATCTCATCGATATCACTCGACCTGAGTTGTTGTTAAGGTCGAGTGAGCCCCCATTGAAGAGCAATGATGATGTGTCTAAGTTCATTGATAATCAGGTTACAACGACGATCGAGATCATCACCAACAGACCTTCTAACTTGATCTACCAGGCAAAGAAGTGATGATCGCTAAGTGCCCATTACACCAAGATGAATCTACCTACTGAGAGACATAACAGAATCTGACAGGTGAAGAGAAGTGAAGATCATCAGTGATTCATCTCATCCATCGTGACAACTCGCAGATGAATGAAATACATCATTAATTGGCTCTATATAGCGGAAATGTTCACTATGTACGGGCCTCAGAACACAATGAATGACATTCCACGAAATTCATGCATTGTTGCTTTTGGTGTGCAACTGTCATCAATTCGGAAACAACGCTGACAATCTTTTTTATATATATAAAAGCCAAAACATTCCCTAAACTTTTATTTTTATTTATTTCAGATTGGAGACAACAGAAAGTTGAAGATTTATTTAATGTGTGTGTGTGTGTGTGTGTGTGTGTGTGTGTGTGTGTGTGTGTGTGTGTGTGTGTGTGTACATATCTTTGTCTTATTTATTTACTGTGTAATATGCCACTCTATCTTTGTTTCTATCTGTTGCTGTGTTTCTGTCTGTCTCTCTGTCTTCGTCTGGTGATGTTTGTCCCTGTTTCTATGTCTTTCTCTATAACTTTAACTGCTTGTCACTCTGTCTGACTTTTTGCCTTGTTATTTTTCTCACTCTCTTTCTGCCTGTGTGTGTGTGTGTCTGTCTTTCTCTTTCTGTCTGTCCACTCTTTTGGTCGCATGGACAAATTCGTGACAGCACGGAAGGTGTGTGTGTGTGTGTGTGTGTGTGTGTGTGTGTGTGTGTGTGTGTGTGTGTGTGTGTGTGTGTGTGTGTGTGTGTGTGTGTGTGTAGAACCAACACTTCGGAGGTAGTATGGGTTAAGAGGGTTGAGAGAAGCATAATGTCAGGAATGCATATAGAGGCTATTACAGACGAGAATGATAGAGTGTTTTTTTCATTTGGCAAACAACAGTGTTTGATATTTTGCATTAAAGCTAGACAAAAAACTGAAAGAATACAAACAAATATTAATAATAATTTCATGTCCAGTTACTAAGATATTACAAGACTGGTTATGGGGTCCCAATGGCACTGTGCCAAGTGGCAATCGTTTCATATATGCCAACCCTGAACTGACCATTTTAGGCATGTACCCAATAACAATTATGTTAAAAACTGAGTGAGACTAAACCAAAATATCTGGCCTCCAACTTCAGACAACCTGATTTTTATATATTTAGATATATATGAAATTGGGTTTACTCTGTTAAAGCTACAGTTGCTACTGTTAGAAATGGAGAACATATACTAGATTTCATTGGAGAATATTTCTTCAATAGTTCCGGAGAAAGCTTTTAGGAATGATTAAGCACGCTTCCTCGCTGTAGAAGCTCCTCATGCTAGATATTTGTTATTAGCTGACCTAAATTTTCCCTTCCTCGCCTGGGCATCGAGCCATATCCCAGACACTGGAATGTGTGTTGCTCTTGACTTTTTACCTCTTATGAATCTCGTTATCTTACTGAGCTCACCAATTTTTTTTCACAATTGACCCCCGGAGAAAATATTGCTGTGGTTTGGGGAAATGAAAATGCCGACTAGTATTGACAACCTGTCTTCCTACAACCTGTCCTCCTACAACCTGTCCTCCTACAACCTGTCCTCCTACAGCCTGTCCTCCTACAACCTGTCCTCCTACAGCCTGTCCTCCTACAATCTGTCCTCCTACAACCTGTCCTCCTACAACCTGTCCTCCTACAACCTGTCCTCCTACAAAGAACGTCGCATTTCGCTCGTAGCGTTACATAAAGCCAAAAATTGTCGTACTAGAAAATGTAAGCGGCTCGCGAAAGTGACGTACTGTCACGTTTTCTGTTTCGTGTCCTCTGGTAGGTTAGGAGAGACCACTTTAAACTGACCATTTTCTTGACATTGGCAAACCTTAGAAGGACAGCCTGGAGTATGGCCTCTCGTTGGCTATTTTAGGTTAGGTTTTGACGCTTTTAGTTGGGCTAATCTACTGCATTTGTTTAGGAATAGGAAAGTCAGAGAATTAGCCAATATAAGTCACCATATGGCGCTTATGGTCACCATCGGTCGCAAATCAGAGGAAGATATTGTTTAGTTATGAAGAAGTCGATGATTCAAACTCACAGATGTGCAGAGCTGATTGCTGTTAGAAGCAATCTCTTACCTTGAAGACATGGTAAACAGGTTCTCTGGGACTATACAAGGAGAATCAGACAACCGGTGAAAACAGGGCCATAGAGCATTGTCCGGGGCTCATGCAAATAGGCTCAGAAACCCTTGGCGCCTAAAATTGGTAGGTGATGAGCTCATTAGACAAATCAGGGACCCACGACTAGCCAGTTTCTTGCTCCAGTTCCTCGGCATCGCGTTCAGATGGAAAGTCCTGCCGTATCGCGGGCATGTTCTCCACCTCGGGAAGGAGCTGGGCGATGGGAAGGAGATGGGTGATGGGAAGGGGCTGGGTGATGGGAAGGAGGTGGGAATGGTCAACAAGGTCAGGAAATGGTGTGAAGAGGACAGTAATCGTGGAGAGGGGATAAGGCATTATGGGAAGAAGCAAGGAATGGTGGTGAAGGACTTGGTATGGTGAGGAGCTTGGTATGGTAAGGAGCTTGGTATGGTGAGGAGGATCCAGACATTATGGTGAGGGCTAGTCAGTTCAACCTGCAATATTATCTGAAAGTATTTCGTCTGAAAGATAATGAATGACTGCATTATTGCTCCTATTTTGATATTTATCTCAAACTCGAATGATTGTATATATTATTGAGGAATAAATTCTCAGTATATGTAAATGCATATTTGCTTGCGTCACCCATCCCACTACATCTCTTCCATCAGCCCTCTCCCATCTTCTCTCCCACCATCCCCTCATACCTCACTTCCTTCTACTTATCACTTCCTATCACATTAGATCCCTTCCACTTATCACTTCCTATCACATTAGATCCCTTCCACTTATCACTTCCTATCACATTAGAGCCCTTCCACTTATCACTTCCTATCACATTAGATCCCTTCCACTTATCACTTCCTATCACATTAGATCCCTTCCACTTATCACTTCCTATCACATTAGATCCCTTCCACTTATCACTTCCTATCACATTAGATCCCTTCTACTTATCACTTCCTATCACATTAGATCCCTTCTACTTATCATCCCTTTCCCTTCTACCCCGCCCTTCCCATTACCTCTCCTACTCCGCCCTACCAATCACCTCTCCCCTCCTATCAACCCTCCCTATCTCCCAGGTTTCCCCGTCCTTGTCCTTCGAGACAACGCCTTTAAGCCGACAAAGGAGACCATTTGCTGTCGCGTTCTATAAGCAGGTCCACCGGCCGGTGAGCCAAGCGCGCTCCGGAACGCCACGTCGCCAATCACCTCGTTAGACGTGTCCTCCCTGAAGCTCCCCTCACGTGGTTAGTCCCCAGAAATCTCGCCACCCCCTTCCCCCATCACCACGTGCAGTCCCCACCAACCTGCAGCCCCCACCAACCTGCAGCCCCCAGCAACCTGCAGCCCCCCAGCAACCTGCAGCCCCCCACCAACCTGCAGCCCCCAGTAACCTGCAGCCCCCCACCAACCTGCAGCCCCCAGTAACCTGCAGCCCCCCACCA